CCCCCCCCCAAAAAAAATAAAAAGAGTTTCATGGACATACCTGCCCAGGCTGGCTTCGAACCACAATCCTCAGATCTCAGCCTCCTAAGTAGCTACAATTATAGGCATGAAGCCATGCAGCCAGCTACAAGACCATTTTCTAAAAGAAAACAACTCATAGGACTGGATTTCTAAGTCTTTATTCAGAGCAAAATCTGCCTGTCCCTCCCTTCTTCCCACGGCTTCTAGTTCTGCCCCTGGGAGCTACAAGGGGGACTGAGATAACAACGTGTGATTGCAGATAGGTTGTGAGACACTTATCAGCTTTGTAGCTACAGAGCTATCCCTTAACTGCTCTGACCAAGTTCTCTAATAAAGAATGCTTCAGTGAACTGCTGTGGGGATTAATTAAGATAAGACATGATCCACGCGTAACAATGCCGCCACATTAAATCAGTGCACCTACTATTTCTAGTCTAATCCCTCAGCTTCAGAATTTACAATGGCCTCCTGGCCTTGATACTAGCCCAGCAATGATCTCTGACTGCCAAGCCTTTTAGCTTGTTGTTGTCTTTGTTTCCATGCTTTTATAGCTAAAGAGTGGATGCTGCCCCTGGCCCACACTCACCAGTGATGAGGTTGTCCACCAGGGTGGTAGGCATGCAAAAGATGCCCACCAGCAGGTCACTGATGGCCAGGTTGAGGATGAACATGTTGGTGACGGTGCGCATGTGTCGGTTCTTGAGCACGATGAAGCAGACCAGCGCATTGCCCACCATACAGAGGAGGAAGATGAGCACATAGGCCACGATGAACATGGCTGCCACAGGGGAGGAGTGCTGGTAGTAGGAAGAGAAGGTGAAGTTTGCAGCCAGGGTAGCCTCATCATCACTTTCATTCTGACTTAGGGGCCAGCTACCATTGAGAAGTTGGGAGGGCTCTCCTAGGACCAAAGAGCATGAGTCTTATGTCAAGGAAAGATGACTGACATTTTCACCAATGAACAGTCCTACACCATGAGCCTGCCCCAGTACCCTGATTATGTGTTCAACAAATTACACCCCCTCCCACTCACTCACATCCTGATCTCATACCTCATCTTGCCCAACATGTATCCCCCAGTGTTAGTTACACACACACACACACACACACACACACACACACACACACACACACACACACTAGTAAAGCTTGAACTCAGGGCCTGGGCACTGCTCCTTAACTTTTTCTCTTAAGGTTGGCACTTCACCACTTGAGCCACAGCCCCACTTCCAGCTTTTTGATGGAGATAAAAAATCTCATGGACTTTCTTGCTATGGCTGGCTTTAAATTTTAGTTCTCAGATCTTAGCCTCCTGAGTATCTAGGATTACAGATGTGAACAACTAGCTCCTAGCTTGATTTGTCTTATATGTTTTTATGTTTTGTTTTGTCATTCTCAGATTTGACTCTGCACAAATGCATCAAGACAACAATTGACAAAGCAAAAGCCTTCAACATTGAACAAATGGACTTTTGCACATTGGAAACTGCAAAATGCTCAAGATCATGCTGCTTTGTGGGCAACTGCATATGGGTTAGTGACCCACTGAGGTTTTTGAGCTCGTGGGAGGATGACTTGTCTGTTATGGTAGACCAGTTGACTGAAGTCAGGCACCAGTGGTTCACACCTGTAATCCTAGCTACTCAGGAAGCTGAGATCAAAAGATCACAGTTCAAAGCCAGACCAGACAGGAAAGTCTTTGAGACTTTTATCTCCAATTACCCACCAGAAAACTGGAAGTGGCAATGTGGCTCCAGTGGTAGTGTGCTAGCCTTGAGCTGAAGAGCTCAGGGACATAGCCCAGGCGCAGAGTTCTAAATCCCACAACCAACAAAAAAAGCTGGGTTGGGCTGGGAAGTTGGCTCAGTGGTAGAATGCTTGCCTCGAATGCATGAGGTCCTAGGTTCAATGCCTCAGTGCCACATAAGCAGAAAAAAGCCAGAAATGGAGCCGTGGCTCAAGTGGTAGAACGATAGTCTTGAGTTAAAGAGCTGAGGGACAGCGCCCAGGCCTAGAGTCAACCCCCATGACAAAAAAAAAAGCTGGGTAATTACAGTTATCTACCATAATCAGACATTTTGCACTTCACCTACTTTTTCTTGTTTCATTATGTTTCCCATGTTGGCTTCGAACTTACAGTCTTCCTGCTTCAGCCTCTCAAAAGTTGATATAACAGATATATACTAACATGCCCAGAGTTCTTTATGAATACAGCTCATCTCCTCAAAATGGTTGTACGTATAACTGTCAATGTATATCTGAGTTTTGGTCTACAAAAATATGTAATATGATTGTGCATTTAATTGGGCAAAGTGGTCTTTGAAGTAGTCATGTTTTTATAAAAGTTTTTAAACCTTTTAACAGATGTTGCTTTTTGTTCTTTGGTTGGCTTTCCTAGAGCCATGGTACTAGAATTTAAACTCAATTGCTAGGCAGGTTCTCTGCTGCTGAGTCATGCCTCTTGCCCTGTTTTGCTGTGGTTATTTTTTGAGATAGGGCCTCTCTTCTTGCCCAGGTATATATCTAAATATCTGCCTATTTTATAATTCCACAAAACTAAGTAAGTATACTTCACAACACCCAATTATTGTTTGAGGAAAGGTCTTTTGAATTTGGTGACAGGTGAGATAGACCTAGATTGATCTCAAATTGCAACTTCCTAAGTATTAGGATTGCAAGCATGAGCCACTGGCCTGGCTCTTTTTAGAAATTGTATTTTCGGGGGGGGGGAGAGGATTGGGTGGGGGGGCAGAGGGGGGAGGCTGGGAAGGGATGGGAAGGGGAAACAAAGGAGGAGACTGCAATGCTTGATAAGAAATGTACTCATTATCTTGCCCATGTAATTGTAACCCCTCTGTACAGTATGTTCACAAAAAATAAAAATAAAGAAATTGTATTTTCCAGAGTTGTCTTCTGTGCTGTTCTTTTAAATTTGCTATTACAATACCTTAAGCTAATTTTGTTAAAAGTACATGGGAACTCTGTACTAGTATGGCAAATTTTCATTGTCTTCAATTATTTTGAAACAGTAAGGAGCAAAAACAAATGCACAGTTAATTCCAAGGGTTGCCTACTGTATGAGTCTACTTAATGACTTTTGCAAAGGACAGACTATACTTTCTGTCCCTGCAGAAAACAGCTTTGTGGTACAAATCTCCCCTGCAGTACAAGGGCAGAGGCAGGGGCCAGCTATAAAGGACAAAGGAGAGCTTTGTGGGGTGGTGAAATTGCCCCATGTGTTAATTGTTATGGTACCTGTGTGATTATGTGTTCATCAAAGTTGTGGAACTGTAAGCTAAAAAAGATAGGTTTTTTAAAATCATATGTTAAATTATACCCTAACAAAAGTAATTTAAATGTAAAACACACACATTTACAACACATTTTCCAAGAAGCTATGAGAATGAAAAGACATTAAATATAATCAAACAAAACTCCTGTGGATTGTAGAGGGAGTAGGAGCATGCCTAGACAGGAATGAACAACAACATAAAAACCAAGAGCCTCACAAAAAAAGTGAAGTCACACCATGCATGCCATGAACTATGTTTGCCAGGACTCACTTAACCCTCTCTACTACAGCAAGGGGAGGAGGACGAAGGAGGAAGGGAAAAAGGGAGGGGAGAGAGAAAAAGGAAATATTATGGTTTCATTGAACTGCAGAAGATTGTGTTAGAAACAACCAAATATCCATAAAAATAAATTGTAGTAAATGCATCTAGTGGAATTCTAAGCAGTTGTAAAAATTTAATAATGTCGTCTATTAACATGTAAACTGGTTTGAATAAGTCTTACAACATACTTTTTTTTTCTTTTTTTCTTTTGCTGGTCCTGGGTCTTGAACTCAGGGCCTGGG